ACGTGATACGTATCACGTTATAACGTGATAGTATCTTGTTAAAACGTGATACGTATCACGTTATAACGTGATAGTATCTTGTTAAAACGTGATACGTATCACGTTTTAACGTGATAGTATCTCGTTAAAACGTAATACGTATCACGTTAAAACGTAATACGTATCACGTTAAAACGAGATACTATCACGTTAAAACGTGATACTATCACGTTAAAACGTGATACGTATCACGTTTTAACAAGATACGTATCACGTTATAACGTGATAGCGTTAATACTATCACGTTAAAACGTGATACGTATCACGTTTTAACAAGATACGTATCACGTTATAACGTGATAGCGCTCGGATTTTTTTTTTCCTGCCTGATAGCAACACGCTTCCGTAGTTTTACCTTCGTTTTATCCAGACGTCTTGTTTTCACACCTGTCCTTGTGTAAGTGATCATTATTGCCCTCAGTCGCACAGTCACATTTCCCTACAGTTCACACCTGCCTTTCATCTGCTCATTAACACTTTGCCACCCCTCCCTGTCTGTTTATGCTCCCAGTTCACCCTCACTCCTCATTTTGTCAGACCATTTTCTGTCTGTGTTCACGTTATATGTCATGATCTGGTTCTTCGATTTGATTGTTTGTATAACTGACTTATTTTGCGGCCAGCTTTTTATTCCTTAAAGTTATTTCATAATTAGTTCTTTTAACCTCAGTTGAATGCATTCTGGGTCCTCATTTTTTTTTTTGTTTCCATCCAACCTGACACCACTTAAACAATTCCCTCAAAGCTGAGACCATTGAGAGGCTGATGAGTGCTGATTCAATGACTGAAGAGGAGGATTGATTTGGATCCACTACAATCTGTGACGTTCCTCTGCACCCACTTGATGCCAAAGAAACAGATGACTTCAGAACCTTCGCCCCTTATTGGCAGAACTATGAATATAATACTCCGTTCACAGACCGGCGCTGAACATGTGATTCTCCCAGCCCGTGCAGCACTCACCACGTCCCTCCTCGGCGAGTCTTGTCTCCTCGCTGCCGTCCATAAGTGTTACAGCTGTGTCTGCCTGCAGGAGCGCTGAGCGGATGCAGGGGATCTCACGCAGGGATGAAAATCTGCTGCTTTCCATCAGAACCAGGGGAGTTTCTGCATTTCACACAGCTGTAAGGAGTCAATTTAAAATCGGTTTTCTTTAAGGTGAGAATGCATCTTTAAAACTTTGAGACATTTTAAAAGGAGTTTATAAAAAAAAAATCACTTTTAATTTTTACATGGCTTGTATTTGTGTGCAAAACTGCCAATTGAGTAAAATGAGGTATTTTTTGGGGAAAAAAATCTCTCTGTAGCTTCGTTTATTATTTAAGTCTTTTTAAATATTTTTAAAAGCATTTTGAAAAAAAAACATCTTTACAACACAGAGCAACTCTGACTCATTTGTGTTTGCATGAATTTCAGAGCTGCCTTCTGCATCTTTAAAATTTATTTTTGTTCCTCTTTAACATGTGGTGACGTTTTAGATTCAGACTTGAACAGTTGTGTGATTGTTCATGCTATTGTTACATAAACAGCAGAAGTAGTTTAAGGGTCTTTGACTCAAAAACAGAACTGTCACGAAGAATAACGCAGCTGCACCCGTTGGCGTGAGCATCACCAGGTCGCTGCAGAAATCTGAAATAATGAATTTTCTCTTTTGCCAAAAATACGCAACTATTGATAAATATAACAAAACTAGCATTTAGGTTGTAATATGTTTTTAAATTGACATGAAGTCAGCATGAGATGCTTAAAACATTTCATTGGGTGGGGAAGTACTGAGTGAAATGAAAACAGTTGCTGTAAACATTAACCTGGTGAAATATTGACTTTAAAGATAAGAATGAAGATCTCATCGCCTCCAAAAGACATAAAAAGTGTGTAAAAATATTTGCAATTATGCCTCACTTCACCAGTTACTTCATTTCATTTGTTTCTGCCCACAGTTTGCTTTTAGTTTGTTCGCTATGATGGGATCATTTGCAGCTCTGGGAGGAACACAGTATTACACATAGATGTATTTATAGCTGCTGAATAAAAATCGGAGGAGGAAGCAGGGCGAAAGTTTCAGAAAGACCCATATTTAACTGAAGCAGAGGAGGCAAAAGAAGAAAAAAGACTGATTGTGGCACCCGTTCACATTGTTTTAGTGAATGAGGGAGGACGTGTGCTCGTCTCAATCAACTCAAACATGATATTTTAGGAGAATATCATGTTTTACGTACCGTATGATTCTCCTCTCCTGGCTGCAGGACGGTGCTGTCACTGGGGTGAAATGTGTCACAAATGCTCAGATTTTTTTCTGTTGGATGTTTTATTCAGAAAACAAGCTCAGGCTTGGCAAAGCTACACTGAAAAAAACAACTTGTAAGTTGTACTTGAAAAAAAATCCTCTAACAACTTGCACTAACGTTTGTTAAGTAAATTTAAATGCTACAAATTCATGTAATATTTACTCATCATTATCTAGTAAAAGTTATTAAGAATGTAGTTAAAGATTTGTGAATAAATCAGGTAAATTTTACTTAATTTGCTCAATTAAAACTT